GCAGGAGGAGAAGGGGATGACAGAGGATGAGATGGCTGGATGGCATCACCGACTCGGTAGCATCACCGACTCGATGGACATGAAATTGAGTAGCCTCCAGTAGTTGGTGATGGACAGAGAAGCCTGACATACTGCGATTCATGGGGCCACAGAGTCAGACACGACTGAGCGACTGACTGAACTGAGGATGAGGGGACCTTCAGGATAGAAGCAACACAGTGAAATGTATCTGCCTGATGAACTCTTGATTGCCTAATCCTAGACTTTACATACAAGGAAGTAAATACCATGTTATTCCACTGTTCTTTGATGTTTCCTATAATATAAAGTTAAACAAAATCCTAACAGATTAAGTAGTCTACCTTACAAGATATTCTTCCAGAGCTACGGCATAGGAGGTCAGAGGAGAAAGTAAATGTGATGATTACTTTTGAAAACTAAAATGTGCATCTGTCTGTCTCATGCTTCCATTTGCAACTTTCATTTTTTGAGTATAGAAGCTGTCAAAGAACTCTGATCGTTTGAATAAACAAGGACAGAACCTTATCTGATAATAGTATGACAATTACCTAAATAATGTGAAATTATACCAAAACTTACTTTAAAACATCTCTTTCAGAGTTATTTAGAATATATAAGGTCCAGTTAATTATAAATATGGATGAAATACACTTCCCTCCTAGAAACTTTGCTAAGCATTTGTATGTAGAATAATGTATATTTGTTTCTGAATAGAAAACAATTAACCTATTGCTTCCTTCTGGCAGAAATAAGGGCATAAAAAGAGCCCTTTCACACCCACATTCCCATAAATGCTATTGTACTGTATATGTATCTGAAAAGAAAAAAAGAAACAGAAGATAATCCCATCAATCAATTAAATCTTTTCATTTTAAACATAACTGTCACCTCATGGAGAACATTAAGAACATTCTCTCCTTTTCCTTTAACTATGAAAGACATTTGCATTAAAAGAGGAGGATCTTTATTTCCTTAAAGTTCGTCTATGCCTTCTGGTTATTCCCCAGCTAAAGCCATAATCCTGTTTGCAACATCATAATCATTTACCCAGCAAACAATCAGTGTATCACTAACAAAGAGTTATGACTTTAGGTGGGGGATAAACTACAGGCACAGATGAACTCTAAGGAGATAAAGATTGTTTTCATGCAAATGTGGCTAGTAATAAATAACCAGGGATGAAAATTATGATGAAACAGAATGCTCTATAAAAACAGATTTGGGGAGGTATAAATAGTATGTTTTCAAAATTTCTCCCTTCTGGAAGTATGATGCACAGTGTTTATAAAGTACTGGTGCAATTTTAATATTTAAAAACTCTGAATTTACACATGATAGCAGAAATCTATAAACACAGAGAATAATGTTTCAGAAATATTTTTAATTAAATTAATTTAGATATTTAGATTTCAACATAAATGCCAGCTTTATACAATATTCAATCTAATTGTCCAACTCACTGATGCAGTCTTCATTTTTGATACTGAGTAATTTTCATAGATTGTTTATGTCAACTTGGCCCTAAATTCACTAATTAATCCATCCATTAATTTGTATATTCAATGATCGTAGGGTAAACACATGAGAAATTATGATAATAAGCATGGCACAACACTTTCTAGTTCCCAAAGGGTTTCTGCACTCAATACATTTTATACTCACACTATCTTTTGAGCTAAGTCAAGCCAGTCAGTATCATTTCCTCCAATTCAGAAAGGAACACATTCAACTAAGTGATCTGCCATCTAGTAAACAGTGTAACCTGATAAGCTGTGTTTCTCCCACTATATATACTATGCTGTCTCTCCTTGGGAAAAGTTAGGGGTTGAGACAGCTTATCAATTGGATCCTGTACATTATTTCTTTCATTCATTCATTCATTACTAATGACCACTCAATCTCAGCCAGGCATAAGACAGGGGCTAAACTTAGAGTGGTGAACAAAACAGGTAAACTCCATGCTCTGTTGAAATGTATCATCTAGTTGAGAGATATACATTAAAAAACGCACACAAATAAATTAAAAATTATCAGTGCTACAGAGGAAAAAGTAGGACACTATGAGAAGGAATAAAATGAATAATGGGAATTAATTTAGATAGAAGTTAAGAGTCTGTTAAGAAGGTACATTTTGAGACCTTGGAGATGAGAAAATGGCATGTGCCCAAAGCCAAGATGAGATAAGCTTTGCTCAAGATCTTTCCAACAACTGAATCATAGGGACAAAGAGAACTGGTTTTTCTGAATCAAGGCATTATTTTAAATATTTCAGTGCCTTATTATAGAGATGGAGCCATTGTGTATTTCATCTGTCAAGAAAAAATTTTCTTGCCCCTCCTGTATAAAACACAGAATGAGGTGGTCTTAAGCCTGAGATGTGCCACTGACCTGCATTGTGTGACACATTCAGAGTGCACCAAATATGGATGACTTCAACGAGTATCAAAAGACATATTAAATTATCAATTATAATTTAATTTTGTTTCCATCATGTGTACGGCCAGAATTGTAAATTTACAGGACTTACTCTGACTGTACACCAGAGGCAAGTCTGAATATAAATTGTGAAATCCCAATGTGCATGTAAAATGTTATCACTTGTCCAGGAGCTTCTAGAGGCACACTGTGCTAACTCTAGAATTGGGAATATGGCTGTGATTCTTCTAGAATGTCTAGTACTCTCTCAATTCCACAGTGAGAACTAGGCTCATGCCTTTAACAACGATTTTAAGCTTGATCTCCAAGATGAGAGAACACACTGAAGTTGCTTCAGGCAAAGGTTCTAATCTTATTTAGTTTTTTATTTCCTCATTAGACTAATGATGAATGAATTAGGAACTTTTCTAAATGTGTGGTTATGGGAAGCAAATAAAGGCAGAAGGGGGTCTGCTCTGCCCCAAAGGACCCTCATGTTTAATATCAATGCTATATTGGAAGTCAAATGACAAAGTCAATGGTTCATTCCTTACTTCAAATTCTGGCCAGAAACGCACCAATGACAACTAATTATCATCTTAATTTTTACTTCAAAACTCTTAATTATAAAAAGTAATAGAATATTATAAAATCTCCTTCTGAGCTAGTTAATGAAAGATTCAAGCCATGACTGAATACACAGAAAGAAGAGTAGTGGGCCTACATTCCTAATGAGAATAGGATAACATCTCCTACCATTTCATCTGAGGAAAAAAACAAAATAAGAGTTTTACAAATTGCACCCAGAGAAACAATTTTCTTTTTCATCAAAAGGGAAAGGAAGATGTCTTAGAGCAAAGGAGGAGAAGAAAAGCCGAGAAACTTTAAACCAGAGCAGACATGCTGAAAAGAAAAATAGCAGCTCTTCCTATCTCAACAGACGAAGAGGAAATCCCCATTTTAACTACAGATACTGAAATTCAGCCTCAGGGTAAGACACCACAAGGGCTTTTGACACAAATGATAAAGATTCAAGGGTGACTCACTGTTGTCTCTCTTGGGGATTGTGGTGGAAGAAGTGCTCAGAGAACAATAACAATACTGAGGACTCACATTCTTCAAGTTATTTCTTTTGAAAAATTATACTCTGATAGTATGATTGGCTTTCCTGATTACTTTGTGTTCACTTATGTAAATCACTTTTTATAAATGGCATTTGTATGCTAAAAGACATAGAAATGCTGATAGATCTCTTTATCATCCTTTTCTACCCTGTAAGTAGATGATGTGTGTGAATGCCAGCACAATTTATTGATGCCATGAAAAAAGTACCAAAGATAGATTTACACTAAGCAACCATCAAGTCTATATGGGGTCTACCCAGAATCTCAGAATTTAGAATCTTAGAATACTATCCAGATTAAAAAGAGTTTGAATCCTGAGATATGACTGTGCTGTGGTGATGGCATAAAGGTTATGCCAACCTGTAGGGATGTTTCTCTGGTAAGGCAACAAATGCCTTAAGGAGAAACTGTCTGAAGACATTGCAAAGTGATATCCATAAAACTATCCTCCTTCCATCTTCTGTCCCTTTTGAAACTCTTGGTATTATAAAATTATGTGAAACCTTGAATACAAACCAACCCCAGGGACCACTACCACTCAGGACTAGTAAACACTTTGAAATGTAGTTTTTGGTTTTTTTTTTTTAGTCTATCACAACAATCCTCCATACTGACTGTGTTCGTACTAGTCAGGGAAACACGGTTTGTACTTCTCCAGAGGAACAGAACCAGTTGTGATGGCTAGCAAATTCAAACTCTACAGGGCAGACAGCTAGGCTTGGGAACAGGGAAGGGTTGATGTTTTAGCTTCACCTGAAGGCAGTCTGAAGACAGAATTCTATCTTCCTTAGAGGACCTCAGTCTACTATGGACAGTAATCTGCTTTACTCAAAGTCTGTTGATTTAAATGTTAATCTCACCTGAAAAATACCTTTATAGAAAGATCTAAAATAAAATGTGACCAATATCTGAGTACTTTAGCTGGCCAAGTTGCTACATAAAATGAACCATCACACTGGCCCTCCCAAAATAAGATAATTAGGGGATATTTCCAGTGTTTTACCATAACAGAGAATGGCAAGTATCATGTTCATTTTATTTCAGGTCCTCTTTTTCTTTTCTAGCAGCAACTTTTGATGCTACCAAAACACCTGTAAATGTCAAAAACCCTAACATGAAAAAAAAAAATAATGAAACAAAGTAAAAAATGGATTCCAGTCTCAGTGATACTGCCAAGTGTAACTAGGCCATCAAATGTACATTGGTGATATAATTATTTAAAATATAATTTAACAATTAAATATAACTTTAAAGATAAGCATGTACTAACTTATATAATATTGTACATCAACTATACTTCAATAAAAATCAATTAATTTAAAAAAGATAATCATGTACTACCTTCTGATAAGTTCTTAGAGACACAGTTACAACTTATTTTTAAAATTTCATTGAATGTTTCTAATATAATATGCAATTTGGAAGAAAAAGCCCTTAAACTTATAATATCACTAATTTTTATTAGTCTGTAAACCTTGAAATATTAGAGACAATAATCAAAACTCTCTATCACCTGGACAAGTAATCACTTGATAACTTTTTTCAGGTTTGCTTTACTCTAGGTACAAAATGGAAAAAGTAATGAATGATCACTAGGTACTCTTTGACCACGGGAGTGAAACGACATGTTGCTTGTCAAGAAAATCTTCTTCCTCTTCGTCCGTACTGCTTTCAGAAACTGTTAGCAAAGATTGGATTCCAGTATCCTTTTCAGAAGAGCTGAAAATGCATTAAAAGGTCAATACACAATATACAGAACCAGGTTTCAACTCTTCATTTATCTTCTGATCAATACTACACACACTGAAGTTATTGGAGGCAGGGAGACATGAGGGGGGCTATTTCCATGGGCTGAGACCATAATTCTCAATGTGCCCAATACCAAGCCTCCGTGATTCTCATCATTCTCCCTCTCAAGAGATAAAGCCACAGTGGAACCAAGGAGAGAAGATTTTATGTTCTCTGGTTGCATCTTTCATTGATGATACTTTAGAAGGTACTTCAGAAACTTGCAGAGCCTCTAGATTCTTGTTAAGAACATTCATCATTACGTCGGTTGTTTAACAGAATTCCAGTGCATAGGCTGCCAGATAAATCACTTCTTCTGTGTACAGTAAATTAGGACCATGTGGATAGCCAGTCTAGATATGCCAAAGCCAAAATTAATGACAGCAATTATGTAGTTCTTTTATTTTCTTGCATCTTATGGTGAAAAGGAACTCATGGAAACTCTAGTGTGTTGCTGTCCTAGGCTTGGAGTCAGAAGTAGTATGGGGCACAGAGAGGAGTCCGCATACTTCAGATATTTTGGTCCAAGTTATTAAAAATTTCAACCCATGTACACTACTAAATAATATAAAATATTTCACCCTGTGATGGATAGAACTCTTCTTTGGATTTTATGCCCCAAACAGGCTAAACCAGCATTTCGCAAACTCTTGTCTGTGGTCCAGTTCAGATCTTAAATGTGATTAAAAACAAAAACAAAAGAACTTTTCACTGGCCTAAATAAAGAAAAGAAGGACAAGGTAATAACTTTTTCATGAAATTTTTAATTTTAAAGAACTGTGCTTTATTCTATTAATATAATTCCCTTATATTTAGTCCTAAATATCCTTCTTTTTATGAAGTTGGTTTAGTTACTTTGGTTTATCTTTAGGGAAAAAACTAGCAACTTTATACTGATCCCTTTTTAAAAAAAAATTTAAGTGGTGTTAGAAATGGAAAAATCCTTGGACCACAGATAAATGATTTTCTCCTTCAGAAGGACAGAATATGAACTCTTGATTCCTTTTTACTACAATATTAGACTTCAACAAATCAAAGGAATTTACAATTCAAGGGGATTTTATTTTACTTTTTTCTCAGTCTGTTTAGAAGAATCACATTTCCTTTTTCAGAGAATTCTAGTATGACCATAACACCTTGACATGATAGACTACTTTTCTGAAGATTTATTAGTTTTACCAATGTGCCTTATAAACTGATCACCATCTCTAAATGCTCTTATCCTGTGTAAGGGAAGAATGAAGTCATATAGATTAAAATGATATCATTGACAATCTAGACTTGATTTCAAGAAGGAGACTTCTCAATATTCTATTCTAAAAACTTTATTCACATTGAGTAAGAGTCTATGAATGCAAAGTATTGAAATTCAGTAAGTTAATGAAGACAAGTAAGGCAACTGTTTTTCAATATAAGAAGAAATGCTGAAGGGTTATTAAATTCCAAATGTCTTTTCATTTTCCTGACACGCATTGTGCAGCAGAGAATTATCTCTTCACATTAAAGCAACAACTTCATAAGCCTTTCACTAAATCCTGATGAAAGGTTAGCAAAGCACCTAAACATTTTATAAAGAATAGCCATATAAATACACACATGAGGACAATCTTTATTTATGTAGTCAAGGTAACTAGTTGGGGGTTGTCAAAAATTTTATGATGCACTCTTTGTACATATAAGCAGCATATTTAACCTACCTCTGTTCCTCAAATCCACAGAGACCCCTTGCACATGAGGCCTTAAGGAAATCTAGGGTGGTCTGACTTGTATTCAGCAAATGGTTGTTGAAGGCTGGTAACTCTTCTGAGGATAGGCTGTAGAGCTTTTCTGAAGGATCTGAAATATTTTATTTCATGCATTGTCAACACATAAATTCAAGAAACAAATACAAAGCATATGGTGCCGAAAGTTTACTCAGTAAACTTTAAGCGGTACAAGGATAGGGGCTTCACAGGTAGCTCAGTGGTAAAGAATCAGCCTGCAATGCAGGAGATGCAAGAGACTGGGGTTCAATCCCTGGAGTAGGAAATGACAACACACTCCAGTATTCTTGCCTGGAAAATTCCATGGATAGAGGAGCCTGGTGGGCTACAGTACATGTGGTCCCAAAGAGTTGGACACGACTTAGCAACTAAACAGCAGTCTGACTTATTTTGCCTAGCCACATTGATTTTTAACATACACTAAACTTAAGTGCCAAATGCTCTGAAGTTTTACAAAGTTCCAAGGAAATACAAGCAATCTTTTTTAAACTTACGATATTGTGCAACTCCTCAACTTGCCTGAATGTTAAACACTTTATTATATCTTTTTGTCTTCTAAGAAATAAAAGGCTTGCCCCCACACAATCTGAGGCAAAGGTTAGTTTTGGAAAAGCAACTCTTTCTTTTAGACTGGCTTGCTTTATTTGGGTAGATAATAACCATGTATATGTGAAAGGGGAAAAGCCTTAAATCATCTTCTTTTTCCTGAAGTTGGCCTGTGATTCAGCCTGCTGCTGCTGCTGCTGCTAAGTCACTTCAGTCGTCTCTGACTCTGTGCAACCCCATAGACGGCAGCCCACCAGGCTCCCCCATCCCTGGGATTCTCCAGGCAAGAACACAGGAGTGGGTTGCCATTTCCTTCTCCAATGTATGAAAGTGAAAAGTGAAAGGGAAGACACTCAGTTGTGTCTGACTCTTAGTGACCCCATGGACCGCAGCCTACCAGGCTCCTCCGTCCATAGGATTTTCCAGGCAAGAGTATTGGAGTGGGTTGCCATTGCCTTCTCCTGATTCAGTCTGAGTAAGGACAAATAGTGCAAGTTCAATAAGCAAATGTGTAAGCAATACCTTCTTATGTGAACTACCAAAATATCAAGTATAGAAGTAAATATGATTACTATGTAATTAGACATAATGTTGTCAGAGCCATCTAACTTCCACATGAGGTTATGCTATGGTGATTTTTAAAACTATTAAAATTACTGTCTGTTATTCCTGGGCTTACCCAGGTAGTGCAAGTGGTAAAGAACCCGCCTGCCAATGCAGGAGATGTAAGAGAGGGGAGTTCGATCCCAGGGTGGGGAAGATCTCCTAGAGGAGGGCATGGCAACCCACTCCAGTATTCTTGCCTGGAGAAACCTCTGGACAGCTAAGAGCCTGGCGGGCTAGAGTCCGCAGGGTCTCAAAGAGTTGGACACGATTGAAGAGACTTAGCACGCATTCCTCCCTTCACTTTAATGAAATTGACAGGATCAGAAGGACGAAACACCAGACTGCATGTATTAAACCCCTGGCTGAAGACAATTGGGGGTGGGTAGTATTAACTTGAAGTTTGTGAGCAAGCAGAGATTCCCCTACAAAAATGAACTTAGAATATCCCTCCTGCAAGATAACTAAGATCATGGCGTCTGGTCCCATCACTTCATGGCAAATAGATAGGGAAACAGTGGGAACAGTGACAGACTTTATTTTCTAGGGCTCCAAAATCGCTGCAAATAATGATTACAGCCATGAAATAAAAAGACGCTTACTCCTTGGAAGAAAAGTTATGACCAACCTAGACAGCATATTAAAAAGCAGAGACCTTACTTTGCCAACAACGGCCCATCTAGTCAAAGCTATGGTTTTTCCAGTAGTCACATATGGATGCGAGAGTTGGACTATAAAGAAAGCTGAGCACCGAAGATTTGTTGCTTTTGAACTGTGGTGTTGGAGAAGACTCTTGAGAGTCCCTTGGACTGCAAGGAGATCCAACCAGTCAATCCTAAAGGAAATCAGTTCTGAATATTCACTGGAAGGACTGATGCTGGAGCTGAAACTCCAATACTTTTGCCACCTGATGCGAAAAATGGACTCATTTGAAAAGACCCTGATGCTGGGAAAGATTGAAGGCAGGAGGAGAAGGGGATAACAGAGGATGAGATGGTTGCATGGCATCACTGACTCAATGGACATGAGTTTGGTTAAACTCTGGGAGTTGGCGATGGACAGAGAGGCCTGGCATGCTGCAGTCCATGGAGTCGCAAAGAGTCGGACACGACTGAGCGACTGAACTGAAGATAGACATCAATACATTTACAACTGTAAGTGTCCTTAGAAGTCCAGAGCATTCACAATGACAATATGTGGAGAAATCCGGCAAGCTGAGGGTTGAGGCTTCTGCTCCCATCACCCCAAAGCAAGCAAGACAGCTTTCACTGGTCTCGTTTATGTTTGGGAATTCTCTATAAAATTACTTCTGAGAAAAACAAGATTCCTTAGTGAAAATTTTTGTCCCATCCCCACTTATTGGAGATTAGGAAATTCAGGGCCCACTAGGGACTGATAACTTGTTCACACAACTACAAGTAGAAGAACTGGAACTCAACCTAAGCTCTTTCAGCTCACCACAATCATAAATCACTATGTTCCAGAATCTAATTATTTAGCATTGGGCTATTATCTTCTCCACACGGAGGTGTCCCCCCTCCCCCCCCACCACAAGGTGAAAGAAAACAGGTATGCAAGGTCCCTTTACATACCCCATGAAAGAGAATGTTACCCATGGGAAAGTAGTCAGCTCAGGATTTGGAATTGGTAGAACCACAGTGCTAACCCAATGGTGATGCTTAGATCTAAGGAATCCCACCAGGAGAGGTTAGTCTTTCAAGTCTCTCTGTTTGTCTTTCAAGTCCTAACTGAATGAATACTGAGCTAATTCAAATTGTAGAAACAGAATGGGACCATTTTTGCATAATCATTCAGTCTCAAAATTTTATTTCAGAATTAATAGGAGTAGTTATTTAATTTCGGTTAACAGGAGCAGAGGAGACATCACTTGACTTTCAAGGCAGAAAAAAATTAAACTTTAACAAAAACCCTACTGCAGGTTAGTGTTAAAACCTAAAAGGTCAACCATACAAAAACCCAAGTGTTCTGATTTTTCTCATATGGGACCAGGGAAGATTGCATTGATTTTTCCATTGGAGATTTTACTTTATAACTGTCAGATCAGCTGATTGTTGAGAGTGGATTGAAGTTAAATCTTTCCTATCCCTGGAATAAATGGGATATGTGTATGTTCTTTGATCACTGAAGAATCTCTTAAATGCAATAATAAAGAATGGCAAAGAGGGAAAATCGACTATGTACAAAGTTCCACAGTATATTTCTAAAACTCAAGTCACTTAAAACACATACATAAAACTTTATTCTACAGGGAAATAAACACACATGAATAAAGAAATGAAGTAAAGAGGAAAGGAAGGACCAAATGACAGGTTAACCCCTTTCAAGGAACAGAAAGAAAGCAAACAGGCAATTTCCCAGTAAATAATTCACCACCACCAACAAAAACAAACACCACTTCTAAAGGACTATATACACATACAAAAGACATCCCGATATTCGGGAGATATGACCATCAGGACCCTCCTCCAGTAACCTGCGAGCCCACCCAGCCCAACCCACCAGCCTGTTTCCCCTCCTCCACTGTCTTGCCTCATTTATCCTTCAACACTTCTTTCCTTTGCCTTGACTCTGCCCAACACCTTCTCCCTCTCAAGTGATCACAATAGTGATCTGAAGGAAGGATCTCAAATTATTTAAGTGGCACACGTTTCTGGTGATCGAACAAAGGAACGTGGGGCAGACCTGCCTGGGTTTGTGCGTGGGTGCCCCTGGGCACCCATGGGTGGCAGTCACTGCACCATCCAGAGTCTCACTTACTGTAGTCACACAAGGGAGACCTAAAGTAGCACCACTTCCTCAACCATCTACCAACAGGATAGCGATGAAGATCAAATGGAGCAACAGCTCATATAAGAACAAACAGTGATTATTACGACTCACTGAATGGCTTCATATTCTTACATCAGAATGCTTTTAATATGTTGACTTTCACTTTCATGTGTCACTCAATTTTTTTTCCTGAAATTCCAAGATACTTTATAGCAAAAACAATTGCCATTCTAATTCAATTTCACCTGACTGTCTTTACAAGGGTTATCTAGTTAATTAGATAACTATAATCCTGATTAGCCATTTTACAGTTTAATATCTTACTTGATGGTCAACCTTCCAACTACTCAGGAAACCACTGCCTCACTATTTGACTTCATACTGTAGTTAGTATGGCTACATCTGCTAGTATCAGGTAGATTTTTATTCTGTCTTATTTAAGAAAAAGTTCTCTGTCTTTAATTACTCAGCTGAGTACCTGTGGACTCATACAAGCATAGGATTGCCAAAGGAATTTAAGGGCCACAAAAACTCAAACAACAAGTCAGAATGAGTTTACAACAAGTGAGACTTTTCTTTTTCGCCGCATGGTGTGGCATGTGGGATTTCAGTTCCCTGAGCGAGGACTGAACTGTGCCCCCTGCACTGGGAACGCAGTCTTAGCCGCTGAACCACCAGAGAAGGCCCCAAACAATAATTTTTAACCACTGAAGAGGTGAATGCTTTACTGTATTTGATTACTGGTATTTTCTCATAATGCAAATCTTCTGATATTTCCAAATTATTCAGCCTATAACAATATCCAAAAACTGACAAAAATGCCTTGGTAATGGCTCAGTGGTAAAGAATCTACCTGCAAGGCAGAAGGCACAGGAGACATGGGTTTGATACCTGGGTCTGAAAGTTCCCCTGGAAGAGGAAATGGCAACCACTCCAGTGCTCTTGCCTGGAGAATACCATGGACAGAGGAGCCTGGCGGACTACAGGCCAAAGGGTCACAAAGGGTCGGACACGACTGAGAGACTAAAGCATAAGCAGAACTTAGTGTTATTTACAAAGGTACTTGTGGAGGAATAATTATACGGCATGAACTAGAGCTAACTTTAATTCTCAAAGTGGCCCAGAAGAAAACATGGCTCTAGAATAGAAACAGATTTTGTTTTTGACTAAAAGTTGGACTTGCCAAGAGCAACTGAGCTTCCTGTATGTCAAAAGCACTGTCCACTGGTTTCTTATATAATTTAACAGTGTTTTCAGGACAGACTATGTGCTAAGCACTTCAATGTTAAAGTGCATGTGTGTGTGTATGGGCAAAATTTTTATAAATATAGTATTTAATATATACTCACATTCAATCACTGAACAATTTATGATAAGGTCTATTATCATACTCATCTTTCATACATGGAAACTGATACAGAGAGAGATTAAGAATGTATAATAATTAGTCCGTTGTCACAAAGCTGGGAATTCGTAGGTCCACATTTTAGAGCCAAGCCCCTGGCCCTAGAGCCTGGCTGTCAACCACCCTGCTTTGCTGGCTCCTTATTTCCTGATTCAGCCTGCACACACACACACACACACACACACACACATCCTCAGCTCCCACTGGCCCCATCTCCTTCTGAAATGACTCGATTGTCAGCCTCAGCAATTGGAGTCGAAGGAGAAACACTACTCAATGTAATTATTTCCTGTCTTCTCTTCTCCAGACTCTTTGGCAGGGCTCTTTTCCTAGAACTTGGAGGAAGTGGAGGTATCCTAGAGCTGACATAAAATCAGTCAGAAGGTATGTTGCTTACAAAAAAGGCAGCTTTCATGGAAATGCACACCCATTTACATTTGTATGAGGACAGTTGTGTAGCTGTATCTGTGGGAGACCAGCCTTCACTGAGAGTTGTTTCAGAACTCACCATGAGTGAGTGTGCATGGAATTTCTCTACCCGTTGATGCCGTACAGAATATAAAAGTCTGTGCAGAATCAATGAATTTTCCAGAACAAAGCCTGATTGCNGAGGACAGTTGTGTAGCTGTATCTGTGGGAGACCAGCCTTCACTGAGAGTTGTTTCAGAACTCACCATGAGTGAGTGTGCATGGAATTTCTCTACCCGTTGATGCCGTACAGAATATAAAAGTCTGTGCAGAATCAATGAATTTTCCAGAACAAAGCCTGATTGCACCACCGCAGCTGTCGCCTCCCTGACTGTTGGGACGATTTGGCTGATGTGCAGTCCTCCTCTTTCCTCAGCTCCAGGTGAATATCCCCAAAGCTGTGCATTCATCCAAGGCCAATCTTCCCAAAGAGAAAGACAGCCATTCCCCGGTGGACTGGGTATAAGTGATTACATTCTGCTCCTGACCCATCAAAAAGCTCTGGTAGTTCACAGGCTATGTAGTGTGTACTTGTTTTTAATGTATGAAAAGTTATGTATTCTGGTGAAAATATTGGTGTGGGTGTATGAGGAAATGAGTGACAGGGAAAAGGTGAAGCACATAAGGACAAACCTGATAAACAAAATAAAAAAGCTGAGAGGTTAGAGACAAACAACCCAAAACTACTGTTTGTAAAGTATTTCATTTGTAAATAATGAAATTGATCAGTTTACCAAATAAGACAACCTTCATCTTCTGATTAAAAATTGCATTACTATCCTTTTGATCTAGTTCAGATCTGATATGCTTCATTTTAGAACTAATTTTTTAAAGGTATTTTTATGTGACCCATTTTTTTAAAGCCTTTATTAAATTTGTTACAATATCATTTCGGGTTTTGTTTTGTTTTTTGGCCACTAGGCATGTGGGATCTTAGCTCCCCAACCAGGATTCAGCCCTCTACCTTCTGCATTGGAAGGCAAAGTCTTAACCACTGAACCTCCAGGGAAGTCCCTAGAAATGACTTTTGACATGAGAATTACCTCCAAGCATATTTATATTTGATTTTTAGTAATGCGGGATAAGGCAAGTGCATGATAGGTAAAGATGAACCACAATTTCTTCTTCCCCAATCCCTAATGAAATGAATAGGAAAGGGAGAAAAATAAAAAATAAAATCATAAGTGGAACCAAAGGAAGAGATACAAATTCACATAATAAACCCTGACAAGTCAGGGACAACAAAGGAATGAACAGAAGATTCATTAGGTCCAGCTGGGGGCCTACTGCTGTCCACACCCTTTCTCCTGCCCACTCAGTACACACACAAACTAGTAACAGGAAAAGGAGAGTAATCTAAGGTGCTCACAAGTCTTACCAGCACCATAAGAAATTGGGGGGAAAAAGTGGGTAAGGGGAAAGCAAGGAGAAAATGTTGAAAATATTTTTAAGCTCTGAACATCCACCATAATATCTTAGCAGAGGCAAGACAATCACATACCCACAGGTGGCCCAACAGAGACAAACACATTTGAAATCAGGTCCAATGAAGTTTGGCATTCAATAAAATCCAGAAAAAGACAAGAGAGCCCAGATCCTCCAGTAAAGGAAGGATTCCTCAGTCCTTCATCTACTCTCCCCTGTGCCTTTGAGCCAGCGGGATACAGAAAAGAGTCAATGGCCAATTCACAAACAGCAGCTCCATAGAGAAGACGGACACGTCCAGCCCAAGTAGAGAGAAGACAGTAGATTTTAGGGAGAGTTTAGTCTCACTATATCAGAAAAGACAAAAGATACGAGCAAAGCCACTCACAACACATGTGAACAAGTAAGGCGCAAGGAAATGACAGCAAACAAACTGGAATCCAAGAATTCACTGCACACAAAAAATGATTAAGTGAAAGAGAAATCTGGTAGATAACAGATCAAGACCCTAAGAAAATTCTCTCATAAATCCTTTGGTTACAGAATAAATAATAAGAATGACATTTTTAAAAAGAATAAAACTACTTTAAAAGATCAAACAGCAACATGTCAGACATCAAAAAGGAAAAGCAAACTTGTTCCTGGATTGGACCTTGCACCAGAAAAAAACATGCTATAATGAACATCACTGAGACAATTAAAAAAAATTAGATATGTACTGAAGGTTTGAGAATTACAATGTATTGATGTTTAATCTTGATTTTGATCACTATACTATGGTTACACAAGAAAAAGCTGTTGCTTGTAGGAAATACACTAAAATATATTTTTGGAAAAGGGTCATGATTCTTGTAACATTCTCTCAAATGGTTCAGAAAAAGAGTTGTATTTGTGTGTGTGTGTGTGGGAGGGGGCATATGTGCAAATGAGGTAAAAGACAAACAGGTCATGAAATGAGTGAAGTGTATATGGAAGTTCCTTATACTATTCTTACATTCTTGCAATTCTCTAAGTTTAAATTACATCAAAGTAAAAATTACCAAAAAAAAAGAATACCTGTAGAGAGCTAATTTATTGGGTCAGTCCATAAAGAATGGATAACTAGCTGAAAGTTGAAATGCTGATATAAGAGACAAACTTGAGATAGTCACAGTAAATAAAAAGTAAAATAAAAACAGCTTAAAGCAGTTGAAGAAACATTAACATTGTAAAGAGATCCAACATAAACAAAACAGGTTTCTTGGCAGCAAAAACCCAAATGGAACAGAAAAGCAATTCAAATATACGACAGAAGAAAATTTCTCTGAAAACAAAGAGGAACTTCTGTGCTTTAAGAAATGCTGAATTACTGATATTGAAATACAATCCTGGTCTAATAACTGAATTTCAAATATTAAGAAAAAAAATTCTTCACACATCCAATCAAGAAAGAAGCATGTCACATGCAAAAGAGAGTGAAGTAAAAAATGAGAAACTTGAAACTACTTCTCAGCAGGATTCAGATCCAGGAAAGGATGAATCAGTGCGTACAAGGTTTAAGAGAAAAATGACCCAAGGAGATTTTGTTGTTTAATCGCTAAGTCGTGTTCAACTCTTTCGCAACCCCGTGGACTTGTAGCCTGCCAGGCTCCTCTGTCCTTGGGATTTCCCAGGCAAGAAACTGGAGTGGGTTGCCATTTCCTTCTCCAAGGGATCTTCCTGACCCAAGGATCAAATCCACGTCTCTTGACTGGTAGGCAGATTCTTTACCATTGAGCCCTCTGGGAAGCCCAGATGCAAGAGAATACCCACAGTCAATTTGCCATTCAGATACAAAGGTAGCAGGCATTCTCCAACAGGACAGGATTCAGGTAATAGAGCTACCACAAGCTCTACCAGTGGGAAAGAAGTTGACAATTAAATTCAACCAAACAAAAGTTAAATGGGGAAACTGTGCCAAAGTACTAAACTAGCACATTATCCAGTGACAGAAGACAGTGGAGAAATGCCTAAGTGCAGAGGAAAAACATTGCTAAATTAATCTGACTTGCCAATGGACTCTAAAGATAAAACAGACATTTTCAAGAATGCCACAATCAAAACTTTTAGAAATGAATGAAAATAAAAGGCTCAAAATTGGGAAGTCTTAGTAAAAATGCAGAATCTTGCATCCCACCCCAGATATACACCTGCATTATAACAACACCCCTGGGGGATTTATGTACACATTGAAACGTGAGAAATACTGCTTCAAAAGATCAGATGGAATAGCTCTTTCTCCAAGAATATTGGGCAGTGGCTCTAAGAGATTAGTCACTCAGTGAGCTTGCAGGAAGGAGAAAAAACATTTTTTCTGCCCACATGAAGGACCTTAAGCCACCACTTAACTGTGAATTATATGAGCTAAGGGGACAATCTCTGATTTGGCTGGGCACACACAAGTTCTATAACATTTTCAGGGTGACATCAGAGGCTAGTCAAGAAAATAGACACAAAGGTTCATGGTTTAAAGAGGAAAAGGGAAAAGTTTGTTTGCTTGGAGCATGATATGGAGAATCAAGCAGAAGGCAGAGTTAATACTGATTATGGTGAAAAAAATAGCATTACCTGCAAGATTTCTCAGCTCATTTAATTCTTTTTCCAAACTGTCTAAGGTCTGCTGATCATCAGTGTCATCTAAGAAAGGCTCGTCATGGTCAGTATCATCAATATATTCAATTTCTGAAATTTCAGAAGCAGCTTTAGAGAGTGACTGAGCAACTGCACTTCTTGACCGGGGATGAGAAGAAGAAAAGCAACTGGAACTTCTCACAGAGTTGGAAAGTGGTAAATTTGCTGTTGAAGGTCTCTGTGATATCTGGCCTAAAATAAAAAATAAATTAATCAACCATTAAAAAAATTCTGAATGAATGCTTTAAAAGATACAGAATACTAGCCTCCTGAACTCAGTTAAATTCATGCAACAGAATTCATGAGAAAATGAACTTTAGATTATCATGTATTTTGCTTTACCTCCTTTTGTGAATCCTAAATTACCTTCTTTGTGTTATAAAGAACACCTTGGATTACTCTTCCCTAATTTCATCTACTTTAAGAGAAAAGCAAGCTAATTTCAATATTAACTAAAACAAAAGTCTGTAAGCGCAGTCAATTCCAGAACTATTCAACATACCAATCTTATCATCTACTCCATGGCCAACCATTGTACTACGTTTCTTACATTCTAGGACAATACTGCACTGTGCCTTGTAAGAGAAAAAACCCCATAGGATAAACATGGTACCACTTCCTAATGGTCCAATTTTATTTGATGGTGTGCACATTCATCTATTAAAACAGATATGGAGACAAAATAGACAGTATGCAAAATCTTTTGGAAAAACAAAGGATTTAAAGAAAACTGAGAGTACATTTCTAAGTTTCCTAAATATTAGTTCACTCTCAGCTGCTCTATAGGGCACTTCAGTGGAAAAATTCCAGAAGCAGAGATCTGAGTCAGATTAGTACTTTATTCCACCAGGGCAGTCACCATTTTGTCTTGATTTATTTCAAAGTTTGATTTAGTTAGTTTTTTCAATATGTGTGGTTCTTTCATAGTAGGAAAAAAAAAAGTCCCTTCAAAATTTGTACTAACAAAACATAACTATATATATCATTTGGTATTGCTCACAAGATTCTTTAATAAATGCCAAGGGAATATTCAAGGGACAAATTTATATATTCATAGCACAGGTATAGTGTTAATATAGTGAATCATTATTTTGATTTAGATAAATACATGTATATTAAATATAAATAATTTATAAGATAATCTTGCATTCCCTTAATACAAATTGCCTTTGTGTACAATGTTGGATTCTTTAAAGAAGTGCTATGGCCATTATCATTAAAATTATGATTTGACTGAATATATGTCATACATCATGCCCACCCTATTGACTCAAAGAAAACCGTAAAATTCAGAAGAATGGCTACAGGCAACTGTTTTGTAATAAACAGTCAATGATTATTGAGTTTGTCTTTTTTTTTAAGATCTACTTTGAAGGTAGCTAGTACCCTAAGAAGAATCAACATTCAGAAAACTAAGATCATGGTATCTGGTACCATCACTTCATGGGAAATAGATGGGGAGACAGTGGAAACAGTGTCAGACTTTATTTTCTGGGGCTCCAAAATCACTGCAGATGGTGACTGCTGCTGCTGCTGCTGAGTCACTTCAGTCTTGTCCGACTCTGTGCGACACCATAGACGGCAGCCCACCAGGCTCCCTCATCCCTGGGATTCTCCAGGCAGGAACACTGGAGTGGGTTGCCATTTCCTTCTCCAATGCATGAAAGTGAAAAAGATCCAACCAGTCCATCCTAAAGGAGATCAGTCCTGGGTGTTCATTGGAAGGACTGATGCTGAAGCTGAAACTCCAGTACTTTAGCCACCTCATGAGAAGAGCTGACTCATTGGAAAAGACCCTGATGCTGGGAGGGATTGGGGGCAGGAGGAGAAGTGGACGACAGAGGATGAGATGGCTGGATGGCATCATCGACTCAATGGACATGAGTTTGAGTAAACTCCAGAAGTTGATGATGGACAGGGAGGCCTTGCGTGCTGTGATTCATGGGGTTGCAGAGTCAGACATGACTGAGCGACTGAACTGAACTGAACTGAAGAAGAATCTTAATGCAGTATGTAATTATTTAAGCAATTAAAACTGACTAAAGTAAGTCCCAAAGGGTACCAATTTTAATAAACATCTCAGAAATCAATTTTGAAAACAGTTTTTGTTGGAATGAAATTGTAAATAAATTAAGAGTCTGACCTTTTGGTATCTGTTTGCACTCAGAGATAATTCTAAAAAAAAACAACTGACAAAAATGTGCCTATGTTTTTTTAAAAAAGTAAGTATCCCTAAGATTTATTTTAATGACTAGAAGTTGGAAATATTTTACCTGTAAGGAATCAATATTTTATTTAAAGACATCAAGAATAACAAATCTGCCACTTTCATAAGTGAACCAGCAGTAGAAACAGTAATGGTAGAAGTACAGGTCAGAGAGTATATAATTCAGCTATAAACAATAATACAATAATTCAGCTATAAAAACAGAAACTACTAGATCTATGGAGAAAACCACACCTTCTATCTTACTGTGCTACATCTCAATCACAATTTAAAGGAATTTAGAACTCATTAAAATAAAACACATGAAAGATGTTATTTAAAAAAACTGGACTTCTGCCAATACAGAGAAATATGAGATGAGAAAATTTTAACATAATGTATATGCCCTTCAGAAAATTCAGATTACGAACATTTGCTGAACTCATATCACAACATCTGGCTGCCACAGTATTAGAGGTTAATTGATCCCAATTGAGAAAAAAAAAGTACACAGGTGTAGGTCAGATATGCTTACCATACAGCAAAGAAAGAGATTATTTTTCTTACTGGAAGTATACTCAAAGTGCAATTTAATGTACATAAGCCATAGAAAGACAGAGTGGTTTCAGTTTGGTCCTTAGTTTTATTTATTTTGTTCATTTAGATAAATATGTCATTCCCTTTAATGTTTCCTGTATAAGATTATTAATGTTATTGTTAGGGTTAAGATTAGAGACACAGTTAAGATAGGCACAAATGAAAAATGCCATGACTAAAGGGATCATCCTGTATTTTAGTTTGTAGATTATAAACATAATCTTTTGGAAGTAACCTTTTGGAAATAACTTACGCCATCACTGGCAATGTAAATAATATTTCCATAAATGTTTCAGGAGCACTTAGAAAATACATTTTCTAATGTATGAATTCTCAGTAATTTACACAGTGGAGCAAGAATATTAAAAGACAAATATGTTTTGTGACCTTTATCCAGGGGAAAATATATTGAGTCCTTTGGTCAGAATGTTATTTATTATTGAAACACTATGCAAAAAGCAGGTTACTCTGTTTATATTTCATCCAATTCTAATGTTTTATTTAGAACAGTAATAATTACCACTGTATTAAAGGCTATTCAGTGAGTGATTAATATTTTTTATATCTTTATTGGTATTCTTATACCCATTAATATAACCCAAACCACTATTTTACATTATCATCCCAATATTCTGCTGGTCTTATTAGTAATCATAGCATATTATTCTTGAACTAACACCAAGAACAATTTCTTTTATTATATTTATAGTGTAACTGTGATCAGGGTTAATCTATAATTTCCTCAGATTACAGAGAGAAGAAGCTGGGGTGCGGGGACAGTAGGTTTTGGCAGTGGGTGGGCAGAATCAGTGAACTTGCTGCAAAACACACATGTATTTCATAGCCACCAGGTTTTTACATTCACAAATTTAAAAGTCTTACAGAAAGAGTAATTCCTTTATGATACTGGCACCAACTCAGAAGATGAGATTTCTGTAACTTGCGGCATAGTCAGGAAATTTTCATTTTTATTTAGGTCATTACCTCTGTAGTTATCTCCTTCTACCTCTAGCTGGGAAGTCTTAACAATTCTTTAAGATTTGGCTGAAATCTCACCTACCGTCTAAAATCTTGCATACAGATAGGTTTCAATGGCAAAGCAATTATTTTACCACTTCCATTCCTAAAAAAATGCACACGCACCTACCCCTATTATAACTGATCATATGTACTATTATTAGCTACCTATCAGTCTCCAGAAGCATGTTATTCATGTTTTTTATAGACCTTTTATTACATATGGTATAATTTATGTATTTACAAGACTATGGTTTTTCCAGTAGTCATGTATAGGTGTGAGAGTTGGACCAAAAAGAAGGCTGAGTGTCAAAGAATTGATGCTTTAGAATTCTGATGCTGGAGAAGACTCGAGAGTCCCTTGGACTGCAAGGAGATTCAACCAGTCAATCCTAAAGGAAATCAGTCCTGAATATTCATTGGAAGGACTGATGCTAAAGCTGAAGCTCCAATGCTTTGGACACCCAATGCGAACAGCAGACTCATTAGAAAAGACTCTGATGTTGGGAAGGATTGAAGGCAAGAAGAGAAGGGGGCAACAGAGGATAAGATGGTTGGATAGCATCACTGACTCAATGGACATGAGTTTGCGCAAACTCTGGGAGATAGTGAAGGACAGGAAAGCCTGGCATGCTTCAGATCATGAGGTGGCAAAGAGTCAGACACGAACGACATAGTATCTGAACAACAACATATCTATACAGCAGTTTTCTCAAAGTATGATTTTTGGACTATGTATGTCGGCCTGAAGTGGAATCATTGATAAAATAAATGCAAATCCCTGAACTTTATCTCAGCTTAATGAATCAAAATTTCTAACGGTGAGATCTAGGAATGCCACAACAGTTTCCCAGGTGATTACACTCACACTGACACTTGCAAGCCTCTGAACTGGACTCTAAGCTCTCAGGTTTCTGGGAAGGTGGCTTATTTTATATTACCATCCTTCAAGTAGGTGCTCCTTCAAATGTTTTTTATAGCAAATCATTGATTTCAACAGACGGCAGCAAATGGATACTTCAAAGCATTTGGCTACTTACTTACAAAGATTTGTCCTAGTAACAAATTCTCATGGCATACATGAGAGTTTGTCTTTATCAATCTATGGTGACTTTAAAAAGTTCCTTTGACTACCTCAGAAGGAAGCAGCCAGAATTTTCAAAAAGCTGCCCCAGCCTTTGATATGAGATATCTAATTATAGAGCCAAAAATCATTTATCATACATGAATGGATTTTCCACTAAAAAAAAAAAAGCCTATTAAAATCTGACAGTTTCTCAACATAAATGCATATGGAAAGAATCTAAGCTGGCCAAGTTGTTTTAATCATAGGATTTAAGGTAAGAGAGAAATATAAATCTTACATATATGGACAAATCATAGGTAATTAAATTTCTGGCTTGAAGCTGGCCTTCAGATGAAGTCAAACAGTCCCCCCTGTCAAATGTTTCTCCTGAATCATGAGCTCCCAAGATCAAAGAACATGACTCAGGCAACTCTTTTCCCCAGGACCCAGCACAATGTCGTCATACTCACCATGTGTGTTGAATTGTCTTAATTAATCAGTCATCAACTGCAACTTCATATGAAATTGAGCACAAAGCAAATCTACTTTATCAGGTACTTTCAGATAACAATAATAACCAGTAACACCACTGATTTTAATGACGTCAAAATTCTATGCATGCACTTACTAGAAAAATACTGCAATGAGCATTAAATATGTCAAAAGAGTTATGGTATAGAAAAACCTCAAAATTATTTTGGCTAGAAAATAGAATTAATAAACTGAAATCAAGATTCCAGGCCCAACACATTAAGCATTAGATTTAAACCAGCAGTGTCTTAACCATAGCAGCAAACAGCAATCTCATGGCTTTGTGTGATCATAATATGAATCAAGTAGAGGAAGATACAAAATCTAGTATAAATATACTGTTTCTTGAAAGTGTAATGAAACTCAGTGTGTATTTTATAAGGGTTGTTCAAAATATATATGCTTCATCCTGAGCTACATTTTAAAAATATCATTCTCTAGTACACTGTGGCAGAAAATAGCTAAGACTGTAAAATGTATGTGTTTGAGAGGAGTAATGACTATTCTTGGTTTTTTGGCTTTGGAAGAAAAGTCCAGAACAGTTTAAATGAATAAGTTTAAATTAAATAACTGACAAAATGAATTTTCAGGTGCCTAGTAAAGTACTAAGAGACAAACTAATAAACACACTGAGCTACAATATGGAGCGGCAGCCTTACAGTCAATCTCACCAGTCTTTAGCTGTGTTCTCCTTGCTGATAGTTTCTGGGAAAACTTCAGAACACCCAAGGCAACTGTGTTATCAGCACATGCACTTACACTGTGGTCTGGGATCCATTCTCTGTCTCCTAAAATGGTAAAACGGTAAAATTACATAAAGCTGAAAAAGAGGAGACATTCATGTTGTTGATTCATTATATGTATTGTCTTACTGGATAATATTTAGCTAAAGAGAAAACATTTATGACAGTGAGGTGTATATTATGAAAGATAAAAATCTCATAATTATACAATAAAAGGAATGAGTTATAAACTGCGAGGAGGTTGTACACACAAAAGACACATACAAGTGTGAACAGAAATAAATATTTTAAAAAATATACAGGCAATATAACATAAAGTATAATAGCATGCATGTGAAAATATACATTTGAATACATAAGAAATATAAGACTACAGGTGATACCAAGACCTGAGTTTAAAAGGAAATGATGGCTATGTCTGTGAATTTCCACTATCATAAGATTTTAAGATTTGCTTTTAAGATGGCATCTAAGAATTGTAACACTTAACAGTTAATCAAGTGATTTGAAGATGCACTATTAGTTGATTAAGGATCACACTTCTAATATCTAAAAATAATCTCTCTCAATCTCATTATAGCCATGTCTTCTGACAGTTGCCTTAAATATAAATGTTAATATTTGGTAACTCTTAGGGTCAATAATTCCAGCTAGAAAAGAAGAAAACAATTTCATTTGGTAAACAGAATTACTCAGTATTGCCTAAGATGTTGACAAACTGTTTTTTAAAACGTGTCAGAAAGTTATAAGCTTGGTCCACAGGCCATCTGATTTTATGTCTGAATTTACCTGCAACTGTAATCCTAGTATTGGAGGAGCTGCATTCTAAGCTATGAGAAGGAAGTAAGTTGAGTCTTTCATTTTTATCAAAAACAAAGAATCTTTCAAGTCCTTGATATTGTTCAGTTATGGGCTTACTCCTGAGGGCCACTTCTTGTAACGACTAGGAAACAAAATATTCAACAAAATTAAGTTTATTTTATCTTATCCACACAAAGTAGCAATTCATTCATTGAGCACCTAGTATGTTTTTAGCATGGATTCTGCCCACATCAAGTTTAGGTTCTAGTTGTGGAGACATAAATTGTTAACATAACATTTATACAGAGTAAGTTTGGAAAAATGCATAAACCAGACTTATGGTAATGATCTGAAAGTTGCCATTAAATCTAAGGAGGATTGAAGTTCATTTAAAAAAAAAAATTAAGTTTTCTCTTTTCTTTCCTTTTTTTCTCCCCTCAGTGTCTCTGCACATAAATTACTCTGGAAAATAGAGTCTTTCTCATATGCTATGCTTTTGACTAGTGTCTTTGACTATATGTAAAATAAATTCAAAGAGGAGAGCAAAATACCGGATGGAAACAAATCTGATCTGATCTTGGTCACAGAGAAAATCCAAGTTAACAAAACATCCACTATGAAGAAAATATACAAGGGGAGACTGAGCCAAGAGTGAGCTAAGTAATTTGTGAAGTTTATATAGCTAAAAACTAGCAGACCTAGATTCTGTATATAGATCTCGCTGATTTGAAGCCTAGGCTTCCCCTACCATGGTGTGAACTCTTATTTTGATATGCTTTCATCCTAGGGAAGAATATAAATGAGATTTATAAAGTACTCGAGTCTGGCAGAAAACATTAGAGATCTGCCAGCGAGAAGGCTGAGCTGCTGTGCTGTCCTCGGTTTCAGTTGTGTCCGGAGCTTTGCGATCCCACAGACTGTAGCCCGCCAGGCTCCTCTGTCCATGGGATTTTCCCAGCAAGAATATTGTAGTGGGTTGCCATGGCCTCCTCCAGAGGATCTTCCGGACCCAGTAATTGAACCTGTGTTCCTGCATCTCCTGTATTGCAGGCGGACTCCACCACTGAGCAACTGGGGAAGCCCAGTGAGAGCTCTAGATGGGCTTAAAATACCATTAGAGTGGCCATCAGTATTTAACAGTTCCCTAATGAATCTAAATAATGCCCAAACATAGTCCACTTCAAGGTGCTAATCACACAATTAAAATTATTATAACTCCATTCAAATGGACAAGTCATATAAATGATAAACCATTACAAATTGAAGCTAGGGACCAATAAAGCACTTCCTTCAAAGGCAAGTCTGAGTCAAGTCCCTACTCATGACATTTTCACTGGCTCTTCCAGACACTGATCACCAATCCACAGAAGCCCTTCTGGTGGAGCTCATATCTGGATCAGACATTTGAAAGTATGGAAATTTTTTTAAAGCTTAGGTTAACAGAGAACAATGAGAGTGAATTTGCCCAATCTCATCTAGTTAACAACTGATAGTTCCACATTTAAAACCAAGAGGTCCTGTCTAGTTCATATTCTTCCTTGCACGTGCCTCCACTACAATATATATGTTAGACTTTATATGTAACATTAAATTGCTGTTGTTGTTCAGTCACTAAGTAGTGTTTGACTCTTTGTGACCCCATGGACTGCAGCATACCAGGCTTCCCCGTCCTTCACCATCTCCTGGCATCTGCTCAAATTCATGTCCATTGAGTCAGGGATGTTATCTAACCATCTTATCCTCTGCCACCTCCCTCCTCCTTTTGCCTTCAATGAATTAATTGTATTATTGTGTTGAAGTTGACATACACTATTACAATGTAAGTTTTTTACTATAATTACACCTGAGTGTATCCAGAATTCCTCTGGATAACACAGCACACAGTGTGTGTGTCACTTAGTTCTAAGCACGATGCCCTTTAGAAACTGGAAAATCAGAGTTCTTATTTGTTCTATTTGCTGAAATTCATTCCATGATCAATTGTTTTCTTAGTTGAAAAGAGAAGTTCAGCTGAAGTGGAGGTTGATTTGGGGGAATCTAGAAGGAAATGGCAATCCACTCCAGTATTCTTGCCTGGAGAATCCCATGGATGCAGGAGCCTGGTGGGCTACTGTCCACAGTATCGCAAAGACTCGGACACAACTGAGCAACTTCACTTTCACTATTATTGGCTAAATTGTGGGAATGTCTTTCTACGATGGGCTGGGGTTTACTTTTGTCAGAAATATCAGGGCATCAGTACACACAGGTCAACATTAATGTTGCATATTCCAACATTTCTTATTTGGAACTTGCAGATTCCAAGTAAGAAATGTATAGTCAAATTCTAAATGAACCTAGATGAAAGCCCAAGATTTCCATTTTTCAGATAAGATATTTATTGACTTAGGCCTGATCCCCTGCAGAAAGTAGTTTCCTTTCATCCTGCACCTGTGAGTATGTCTCCTTGCATATTCCTTCAGAGACAGAGCAGACTTTTAGGGATCGAAGGTTTCTGCAGAGGTCTCAGTTCTAATTTCTTACTTTGAAAAGGAACAAGGCCTATCACTAAGTAGGTATAGAAATTCAATCCCCTGAGCAGAAGTAGCAGCAGCTCAATAATCATTCTGTAACTCTTTGGTCCTATCTTCAGTTTAGGTACTATGGCGATTCATAGCAAATGACTTTAGAATCTTGTTAAAATATTTGATTTGCCCAATTTCCAAAGAATTTAACATTTAATTTGTCCAATTTCTAGATAACTTATTATTAATAATTATAATCACTTAAGATTTTAGTACATAGAACAGAGATTCAAACATAGTTTTTAAATTTGGCAGTAATGCAATAATGAGCTACTTTATCTTTTTCCTCTAAGAAGAAACAAAACTCTACCCTATTTCTTTATTAGCTATATTCCTGAAGAATTACCTTTTAAATGTTATGGTTACATTAAGCCACAAAACTGGTTTTATCTACAAAGCTGCAATTTTTTTTTCATTTTAACCAGTAACTATAGAGTAGAAAGCTAGAAAGGATTTATTATACTAAATTATTCACAATAATGAATTTCATTTAGGAAAGTAACAGCACTGTTACTATGGTGCATGAGGTGGGCCTTAAATTATTTGTCATAGAAAGTCATTTGTTATAATGGCATTTACCATATTAGAATTTCTTCTGTAAATCATTTACATTCTTTCCCATACGAGTTACTCTTTGACTATAAGGTTGTACATTTTAAATTCAATAGGAAGTAACATTTAAGAATATACTGTGTCAATATAACATTTTTATGATGATAATTATAAAATTTTAATACAATAAAAATAATAGATATTTACCAGTGGTGACTCTGTAGTTTTAGAATCTTCAAAGTTTGGCCTCTCATGCAGCTTGCTGAATTCCAAGGAGTTCTTGTCCTCTTGAGATAATTTCTCCTTAATGCAGGGTTTTTCTAAATCTGTACTTGGCAAAGAATCCTTGCTCTCAAGTGTTATGTGGGAATCGTCATGTTTTTTATTACTTTCTATATCTATGCCTTTCTCTTTCAAATTTTTCTCAAAAAAGCTGTTTTCCTCTAATTTTTCAATAGCAGGAGTGTATGCATCAGGATCCACAAAGGTATCAAAATCTGCATGTGAAGTTCCTGCTGTTGAAAACACATATTTACAAAAGTTAAGTAAATAAATATAAAAAAATGGATGGATTAAACTGTTCATTCACCAACAGTTCTGCGGTATAAATGTTTATCATTAAACACTATTTTTAAAATCAATTTTCTTTACTGAGTCCTCAGTTTTAAAGACTTTTATACAGCTTATGTTCATAAATAACAATCCTAATTCACCTATACATTCAGACTTAAATGATTTAGACTCATGGAGGGAGACAAGATTTTATTTTGTGATGCAATCTTGAAATTGACACATTTCCATTTTAGCCTGAAGTTCAATTTCTACTTTTCTACCCTCTCTCCCACCCAAGTTTTATATCAGTAATCTATGAGAAATGCATATGCAGAGAAAACCCTAGTTTCCACATTTACCTCTTTTGCTTAGCATAACTAGTGATGAAGAGAGGGCCATGGGAAGTCTGCCAGACGAAAGAGCTGCAGCAGTGAGGGGCACAGAAAGTGTTTAGGCTGAGACACCTGCCTCTGGAAAGCTACAAAATGAGCTAGATTATATTAATCACCTACTTCATTATGTCTGCTTTAAATAAATCACTTGGGGTAGATCACTGGTTTTCAACCTGGATGCACAATGGAATCATCTGAAGTTACTCTTTAAAACTGTCAGTGTATGGGCCTGACCCCAAAGCAATTAAATCAAACACTGACTGTGGGAATCAAGCATTTTGCTTGTTTGTTTCTTTCCCCGTCTCCCCCACCAAGCTCTCCAGGTGATTATAATGTGAAACTAGGATTATGAAACTTTGGTCTAGATTTTCTTAAGAATAAAATTCTTAAAAAAAATTTTACACTATATTGCTTTCATTACCACATACACATATTTATCCAAACTAAATATAGCTTCATCTGATTAGCCCATATTCGCTTTCCAATATGCATATCTTATCTGTATAAGTAGACTGGGTAAAATAGTAAAAGCTATAAATTAAAATAGTCTTCCATGATATAAACTCTCTCTTACAGCCCATTGCTGCAATCAAATGTTTATATAACTCAGCAATTGCACATAATATTTAGAACTTCCATTTTCAATTATCACCTCTAAATTGCATAAGTATTGTGAGAAATGTAATAAGTTGTATGTCAAAAAAATATTTTATAGAAAACCTTTATGAAAGCTATTCAATGTAATAAACTTTTATGAAAATGTTGTACTTTCCTAATAAGCTTGAAAATAAATTATCTGAATGTAGTTTTTGTTTTTTGGGGGTTTTTTTCTGTAGAAGGAGATGTCATTTCCTAAGTGTAAATGTCTACAACTAACCTCTACAGTATTTTTGCTAGATTGTAAAATTCCATTATTAAGATTTATTGCTGCTGAAAAAGTGAGAACACAACCTTTTAATAATGCATAATATGTGATGCAGAAAATACAGATATGATTTAATTTAGTCTATTCATTAGAAGCCCTGTTAAGTCATAAAAAATGGTTGTCTGGGTTCAACATTCAAAAATCAGTTATTCTAACCTGTCATATCAAGAGGCTAACGAAGAAAATCACAGGATCATATTAACAGATGCAGAAAAAGCATTCAACAAAATCCAACACTCATTCATGATAAAAATCACAGTGAACTAGAAATAAAGGGAGACTTTCTCTACTTAATAAAGACTACCTACCAAAAAACTACAGTTAACAAAATACTCAATAATAAGAAACTAAAAGCTTTATCTCAAATATCAAGAAAGAAACAAAGATGTCCATTCTTACCACTCCTTTTCAACACTGTACTGGAAGTCATAGCTAATGCAATAAGACAAGAAAGGAAATAAAAGGTATGCAGACTGAAAAGGAAGAAACAAACTTGATTTTGTTCACAGATTACAAGAATGTCTAGGTACTAAATCCAAAAGAACTAAAAACAACAACAAAAAACTCCTTGTATTAATAAGTGCTTACTGCAAGGTTGAGGATACAAATTGAGCTAACAAAAGTCATTTGCTTTCCTACACACTAACATGAACAAGTGAAATTAAAAATTAATAATACAGTACCATTTACATTAGCACATGATATTGAAATACTCAGGTATAAATCTAAAAAAATAAACACAAACAAGACCTATATAAGGAAAACTGAATGAAAAAAATAAACTGGATGAAAGAAATAAAAACAAACTAAATAAGTGTTTTTTTCACACTAGTTCACATTCATAGATAAGAAGACTCAATTTGTCAAGATGTCCGTTCTTCCCAATTTCATCTACAGATTCAATGTAATCCTAATCAAAGTCTCAGCAAGCTATTTTGTATATATTGACAAGTTGGTTTTAAAGTTTATATGCAGAGGCAAAAGACCCAGAACAGGCAACAAAATATAGGAAAAGAACAAAGTCAAAGGACTGACATGACACAACTTAGAAAATTACCATACAGTTACAGTAAGCAAGGGGATTTCCTAGTGACTCAGAGGTAAAGAATCTGCCTGCCAATGCAGGAGATGCAGGTTTGATATCTGGGTCAGGATGATCCTCTGGAAAGGAAATGGCAACGCTAAAGTATTCTTGCCTGGTAAATCCCATGGACAGAGGAGCCTGGCAGGCTACAGTCCATGGGGTTACAAAACAGTCAGACACGACTTAGCAAATAAACAACACAGTAATCAAGGCAAAGTGGCATGAGCAAAAGTATAAAAACAGATCAGTGGAACAGAATGGAGAATCCATAAACAGATCCACATAAATATAATCAACTAATCTTTAACAAAAGAGTAAAGGCAATACAATGGAGAAAAGATAGTCTTTTCAACAAGTGGTGTTGGAACATGTGAATATGCACATGCCCCAAAATAAATCTGGACACAGACCAGACTCGTCAAAAAAGTTAATGCAAAGAAAAAATAAAACTAAATGTAGAACCCAAAACTATAAAGCTCCTAGAAGATAGGGGAAAATTCAGATGATCTTGGTTATTCTAATGACATTTTAAGATACAACACAAAAGACAGGATGCATGAAAGAAATCATTGATAAGCTCAACTTCATTAAAATGAAAAATTTCTGTTCCATGAAAGATACTGCTATGAGAGTGAGGAGACAATCAACATAATTGGAGAAAATTATAAAATACTGCATACATACATACATACATACACACATACATAAAATACTGCAATCTAAAATATGCAAAAGAACTCTAAAATTTCAAAGTAACAGAATAGACAACTCAATTAAAAAATGGGCCAAAGACCTTAAAAGACAACTCACCAAAGATGACATATTTGGCAGATAAACATATGAAAAGATGTTCAACAATATATGTCACTAGAAAATTTCAAATTAAAATGAGATACCACTACACAGTTATTCAATTCAGCTCCATTCAGTGGCTCAGTCATGTCCGACTCTTTGCGACCCCATGGACTGCAGCACGCCAGGCCTCCCTGCCCATCAACAACTCCTGGAGTTTACTCAAACTCATGTCCAGTAGGTCGGTGATGCCATCCAACCATCTCATCCTCTGTCATCCCCTTCTCTTCCTGCCTTCAATCTTTCCCAGCATCAGGGTGTTTTCAAATTAGTCAGTTCTTCACATCAGGTGGCCAAAGTATTGGAGTTTCAGCTTCAGCATCAGTACTTCCAATGAATATTCAGGAATGATTTCCTTTAGGATGGACTAGTTGGACCTCCTTGGAGTCCAAGGGACTCTCAAGAGTCTTCTCCAACACCACAGTTCAAAATCATCAGTTCTTTGGTCTCAGCTTTCTTTATAGTCCAACTCTCACATCCATACATGACTACTGGAAAAATATATCTTTGAATAGATGGACCATTGTTGGAAAAGTAATGTCTCTGCTTTTTAATACACTGTCTAGGTTGGTCATAACTTTTCTTCCAAGGAGTAAGCGTCTTTTAATTTCAGGGCTGCAGTCACCATCTGCAGTGATTTTGGAGCCCAAGAAAATAAAGTCTATCACTGTTTTCACTGTTTCCTCATNTCAGGAAGCAACAGTTAGAACTGGACATGCAACGACAGAATGGTTCCAAATAGGGAAAGGAGTATATCAAGGCTGTATACTGTCGCCCTGCTTATTTAACTTATATGCAGATCACATCATGAGAAATGCTGGGCTGGATGAAGCACAAACTAGAATCAAGATTGCCGGTAGAAATATCAATAACCTCAGATATGCAGATGACACCACCTTTATGGCAGAAACTGAAGAAGAACTAAAGAGCCTCTTGATAAAATTGAAAGAAGAGAGTGAAAAAGTTGGCTTAAAACTCAACATTCAGAAAACTAAGATCATGGCATCTGATCCCATCACTTCATGGCAAATAGATGGGGAAACAGTGGAAACAGTGACAGACTTTATTTTGGGGTGCTCCCAAAACATTAAAAGACACTTACTCCTTGGAATAAAAGTAGTGACCAACCTAGACAGCATATTAAAAAACAGAGACATCACTTTGCCAACAAAGATCTATCTAGTCAAAGCTATGGTTTTCCCAGTAGTCATGTGTGGATGTGATAGTTGGAGTATAAAGAAAGCTGAGAGCTGAAGAATTGGTGTTTTTGAACAGTGGTGTTGGAGAAGACTCTTGAGAGTCCTTTGGACTGCAAGGAGATCCAACCAGTCCATCCTAAAGGATATCAGTCCTGAATATTCATTGGAAGTACTGATGCTGAAGGTGAAACTCCAATAATGTGGCCACCTGATGCAAAGAATTGTCTCATTTGAAGAGACCCTGATGCTGGGAAAGATTTGAATGCAGGAGGAGAAGGGGACTACAGAGGTTGAGATGTTGGGTGGCATCACCAACTCAATGGATATGAGTTTAAGTAAACTTCAGGAGTTGTTGATAGACAGGGAGGCTTGGTGTGCTGCAGTCCATGGGGTTGCAAAGAGTTGGACATGACTGAGCAACTAAACTGAGCATGGCCCTGCCCATCAGAACAAGACCCAGTTTCCCCCTCAGTCAGTCTCTCCCATCAGGAAGCTTCCATAAGCCTCTTAGCCTTCTCCATCAGAGGGCAGACAGACTGAAAACAATACAATTATTAGGATCACAAAAATCCAAAACTCTGACTATTCCAAATACTAGCAAGAATATGAAGAACAGTAAGACTCATTAATTAATTGTTGGTGGCAATGAAAAGTGGTAAAGTCAATATGAAAGACAGTTTGGTGGTTTCCTACAAAATTAAACATATTTCTTATCACATGATTCAACAACTGTGCTCCTTGCTATTTACCTGAATGAGTTAAAAACTTATGTCCAAATAAAGACTCACATATGGATTTTTATAGCAGCTTTATTCATAAACACCAAAACTTGAACACAACCAAGATGTCCTTTAATAAGTTAACATATAAATAAGTTGTGGTACATCCAGACAATGCAGTACTATTCAGCAATAAAAATGAGTGAGCCATCAAGCCAGAAAAACACATGGGGACACCTTTAAATGCATTTTATTAAGTAAAAGAAGTCAACCTGAAAAGACTGTTGTATGATTTCAGCTATAACCATCTGGAAAAGGCAAAAGTGGAGAGTAAAGAGATCTGTGGCTGCCAAGGGTTAGGAAGGAGTGTTGTGTGAAAAGGCAGAGCACAGAGGATTTTTATGGCAGTGAAAATACTTTGTGTTATTCTATAATGTTGATTACAAGTCATTATACATTGGTCCAAACCCACAGAACGTACACCACCGAGAGAGAACCTTAACGTAACCTGGGGACTCAGTAAAAATGATACATAATGAATGTACTACTCTGGTTTGGGATGCTGAGAGTGAAAGAAACTATGAATTTGTGGAGGCTGAGAGTATATGCGGACTCTCTATTTCCTGCTAAATTCTCCTATGAACCTGAAACAGCTTTAAAAAATAATGCCTATTTAAATAAATCAAGTATCTTTAAAGTAACACCTAATGGGCATTTGTAGTCAGCATTTTCCCAAACACAGTTGTAACACCAGGCTCCAGGAAGGTTAAAAATAGCTTGTGGCCTAGACTTGGAGCCCTGCAAAGGCCTAAATTCCCATACGGATATAGTTCATGGTCATAAGATTTAGAAGCTTAGTATCCAAAGATGTTAAAATCAGCAGGATTACCTGAAATCACTGTTCTCTACCATCTGCTACCCAATGAAAAGGTAATCATCAGTTTTACTATAAGTTACTTTAAGTAATGATCTCTGGTCTCTCTCAAATTTTCACATAAGAAATATTTGTTGTTTTTTCTGAAAATCTAAGTAGATAAAATAAAATCCTAAATAGATAAAAGTAGATTAGAAATCATCTAATTCCTATATTTTAGTTTTGGTAAATGAGACCTAAGAAAGGAAGTGATATGTTCAATGTCACACAGTGATTTGAGGCAGAAATGAAAACAAAATCTGACTCCCAGGCCAGGATACTTTGTATGACTGTCTTTAAAATGATCTCAGCATCTGGAAATTAAAACCAGATGTTAGTACACAGTATTCTAATCTATAGATCCCCAGGGTACAACTGGTAATAACAATGTAGCTATATAAAGAGATGATTTGTATTGGTTCGGTTTTATCACTTATGTGAAACTTTACATCAAACTCAAATATTTTAGGAAAATAAATAGCTCAAGGGAGGACAAAGTAAAGCATGCCAATCAGATTTCTGTCCCTAAGAGCCCAACCATGTAAACTTTTAAATGATAGCTCAGGTACAATAACTTTCAGAATAGTTTTATATTGTCTGTTTTTTTCTCTGAATACAAATACCATTGTCCATTAACTAAAAAGAATATTTCATAGAAAATTATGTATTTTCAACCAATGTTCTGAGTATCAAATTATCTGGGTTTAAAATAAACAGCAAATAGGCAAAGCTTTATATAACCTGCAATACCTACCTATTGATTTTATTAAATTATAAACATTCACTGTTAATAATATTAAGCAAAAATGAAAAAAGTTACCTTTTGAGTTATCTTTACAAAAAAAAGAGTTGTTACTCAGAAGGTGGAAGAGGTCAGATTTTCTCTTGGTGAATACATGATGTTGATGGATGTCATTTTCATACAGAAAAGCATTCTGATAATCATGAAATGTGTGACTTTCATGTTTACGGACAAACAAGAGGACATAGTTGAAAGAAATTATACATAAAAATGTTAAAATATAATATAGTAATTTACTTATAAATTGATAAATTATAAATAAATAAAAATAAATTATAAATAAATTTTAAAACTCAGCTTATTAAACTAAATATAGTAAAACCTTAAGGAAATAGGGTTATTCACATTAATTTAATACTTGTTTCAACATACTGTAGACACATTCTAAAACAGCAAGTACCTTAACAGTATTATGAATTTAAAAGAAATAGGCAACTGGAACAAACCTGATTTAACTGCAAATTTTTCATTGAAAGTTTCTTTTTTTAAAACTAGTCTAAAGTAAGTTTAATTTCTTATGGTCTTTCTTCTAAAAATGAAGAGGTATCTTTCGGTCTCATCAAGCTGATGAAAACAAGATTTTATTGCTTAAATAAACATTTTATTTGTTCATCATGACTATATGGGTTCAAAAGCCTTATGCAGTATTTATATCTCAATTTTAGTGATGATTACCATATACAAGCATAGTTACAACTGAATAACACTTTCTATGAGTTGAATAATGTATTTAATAATACTTGATATTATGTAAGCTCTACATGGTGGTGGGTGGGTTAGTCACTAATTCGTGTCTGACTCTTTGTGACTCCATGGAATGTAACTACCAGGCCCCTCTGTCCTTTGGATTTTCCAGGTGAGAATACTGGAGTGGGTTGCCATTTCCTTCACCAGGGGATCTACCCTACCCAGAGAGGGAACCTGCGTTTCCTGTTTTGCAGGTAGTCTCCTGCATTGCAGGCTCATTCATTACTGCTGAGCCCACCAGGGAAGCTGCAAGCCCTACACGGTACCACCAAAAAACCTCATGGATTATGCTTGACCAAAAAGGTTCTTTTGTGTCATATATGATCCTTTATGACTTTTCCAGAAAAGAAGCTCTATGGGCACCTCCAAACCCAAGATGCAAACCTATTGCCAAACCATAATCAGTAACTTTCTCTGCCTTGTCTAACACGGAGGTCAAGGGAAAAGCTTGTGATAAAATATATAAAAGACTCAAACTAGAGAGTAGAAATGCTGTACTTCCTTAGGTTTATAGTAGTGTGTATAAGTATAAACCTCTTACCTACTGACCAGAATCTGGCTGTCTCCTGCCAAAAGCACACTTGCTGCTAGATATCTGGGTCTATGTGTCCAAAGTGAAAGTGAAAGTCACTCAGTCCTGTCCAACTCTGCAACCCCATGGACTGTAGCCTGCCAGGCTCCTCTGTCCATGAAATTCTCCAGGCCAGAATACTTTCAGGTCCAAGGGCATCACTTAGGCCCACTGCTGTTCCAAAATACTGACAGGGGCCTAAGGTGATCTGAACATATAAACAAAGAATCGGTGTAGGGGCTACCTAATAGAAGCTTCATTCTGCTGTTTACCCAACTTAATACTTTGCAGTCAGACCACCTGAAATCCTAGCCAAGGTTTCAACAGCAGAGAGGACTTGGAATAATTTATACATTACTAGTAGATACAGCTAGATGTTATTTTTCATTCGGAAATGACAAATTTTTTTTAAAAGTTACAAACTGCATCATTATAATTCATTTATTTATCACACAGTAAAATCCACCTAAGAAGTAATCTGTAGTTTGGAGGATTTTTTTTTTGGTCTCTCAACCTAATCATTAATATACATTTTTATTTAGGGTTCATAACAAACTGAAGTAAGCAAAATCCAAAGAGTATCTTCGCAAAAAGTAAGAAAGTTTATATGAAATATATAAGACTTGGTCAGTCACTTCAAATAATGACAATTCCTAAATTCTGAAGCATCTATTAAATAATCCAGATGCTAAGTAAAAGCATAAACATATAATTATAGATAATTTTCTAATTATTGAATGCTGATAAATATTAGTAATACTGTGTGCTATGCTCAGTCACGTCTGACTCTCTGCAACCCCATGGACTACGGCCCTCCAGGCTCTTCTGTCCATGGAATTTTCCAGGCAACAATAGTGGAGTGGGTTGCCATTTCCTTCTGCAGGAGATCTTCCTGACCCAGGGATCGAACCTCTGCTTCCTGCATCTCCTGCACTGCAGACAGATTATTTACCACTGAGCCACCAGGAAAGCCCAGTAATACTGTACCCAAATTTAAAGATGGCTTAAGTAAAATAGGCTCTAACACTACATTCATGTGCTTTTTATGTTGTGAACTTCTCAAAAGATAGAAAATTTTTTGTGAGTGTTTAACAAGCATTCAAAGTGAATTAGAAAGATCTTACCTTTGTTGACTGTCTGCATCTGCTAACTCAACTTTATAAGGCACAGCATTTCCTGGTTCTTCAAATTCCACTTCATAAGTCTTATTGAACGGATGTTGTATAATATTAGTATGTTCAGGTAATTTATGATACATTAACCAGCTAACTTATGCACAGTATCTAGAGAATTTTTCTTCTCACAAAAAATGTCATAAACTCTCTGACTATATGCCATAGAACATGAATTCTAAGAGAACTAAACAAATTCAACAGACAATTGTCGAGGGCTTTTGCTGTATAGTTCATCTTATCACCATTGTCACATCCAGAGCCAAACATAACAACTTAGATTTTATTTTGTAACTACAAAGTGCCAAGTGAAGTACAAATGTTAGTCACTCAGTCGCGCCCGACTCTTTGCAACCTCATGGAGTTCAGGCTCCTCTGTCCATGGGACTTCCCAGGCAAAAATACTGGAGTGGGTTGCCATTTCCTTCTCCTGGGGATCTTCCCAACCAGGGATCAAACACAGGTCTCCTGCATGGCAGGCAGATTCTTTACCACTGAGCCACCAGGGAAGCCCCAAGTGCCAAGTAGGTGTTTTTAGCTCTCTGACTAGCATGTCATAAGCTTACTCTATACCGCAACAATTTAATGAAGAGCCATCACAAATATACATGCATGTATGTGTTAATCTGTTCAGAATCTTCAGTTTATCCAAGGCAGAAACAAATATGTTGCTAGGCATACACACACACACACACACACACACACATGCATGTGCCCACACTGCAGAAGCTATTAACCTAAAGAAGAAAGTAGTATGTCAAAAAGTACTTCCTCTATTGTATTCCTTCACGTGACAACCATAGTAAAAGCGATATTGAGGACAGTGGGTATATTCAGTTACTAGAGGATGAGAAATTCAGAAATGAATTCATCCTGGAGCTGTAGCTCTGACTTACTCTAGCTCCAGCTGATTTTACTCGGTGTTTTCCAGAGGTTTATATTCAAGTTATTATACTAAATCCATTAAATCTTAAAACTACTTTTCCTTTAAATAAAAAGTATTAAATGACATTAAACAAATCCATAAAAATTTTATTAAATAAGTATCATATAATGAGAATAATCTTTATTTAAAAGCACAAAAACATAGAAAACTAAATACTGGGTTGGTCAAAAGGTTCATCTTGGAACAAACCTTTGGCCACTCAATAAAACAAACACTAAACACTGTCTCTACAAGTTAAAAGATTGAAATATCTTCTCATCTCCCATACTATGACACAATATCAATTTAGCTCACAAATTTACTGTCTACATTAAAATAATAGTCTGCTGTATTCCTATCAGCATATTTAAATTCAAACACTTGTAAATTTATACTATTAAACTATGCTTAATTATGAAAGAATTATCTTGCCGAAAATAATATGTAGCTGTAACTACATATTATTTATGTGTTATGAATTTCCTCTCTGTTAAGTAATATGAGTGGTCATTATGCACTTACGTCATCCAGTTCAACTATTTTTAGAGCTGGTTCAGGTCTATCTATGTTTAATTCTTCTATTGACAGAAAAAGAGCTGGGGATTGCATCTTGATATCCTCAACTAGAAAATAAGATTAAAAATAATATCATCCAGAGTATACCTTACCTGATAATTCATCTTCAAATAACATAGGCAACAATGGAAGAATGTTCTGTGCAGCCACACAAAGGTATAAATACTCTCAATTTTCCCAGCTCAAGTAAAATATACAATTATTTAACATTCAATTTTTAAATGAAACTATTTAAAACAAAACAAGCTACATCTAGAGAACAGGAAGGAGAGTGTGTGCCATTCTGATCTAGTGTACAGTGTAGTGAGAATGATACAAGGAAACCAAAAGCAGATGCTGATTAATGCTCAGTGTATATAAGTTGAAATAGTAAATTCAAAAATATCTAATCAAGTCTGAACTAACCATCACTACCTTCATCATTTTCATTCTGAGAACATTGTGCCTCACTAGTGGTTTTACACTGAGGTATGAAGGTGTCCGGTAGCATGTTTTGAAGTTGCTCCAGTCGAGTTCTACAAAACAAGAAGCAATTAAAAGCCTAAAGTACACCATCTAAAATTTTTCCAGATGAGATCTTAATTTATTTCACAAACAAATGAGTCTACAAAATTAATAAGGAAAATCATAGCCATATCTCTAATTTACAGAAGAAATGTACAACTGCATAACATAATCTACTGAAACAATTTTGTAAATCAAATTAATGTCACACAAGATTTTTAATTGCATATCCTACTGTTTTCCTGTTTAGGATGAAAATCAAATTTATGATAGAATTCAGTGTTCTCGTAAAAAACACATGGAGTCCATGAAACATCATGCTGTCTAAAAAGCTAATTTACAAAGGTGTGTTGCATCTCACAGCCTTGGAAATATGTTGAAAAGTTCTAAGGGAGCTGAAGGTATTTTTCTAAACTTCCACCAAGCCAACAGGGTGATAAAACAGGCTTCCACTATATGAACATGAGGTGCTGTGGCTGAAGCATCTTTCACCTGATTAACAATGCAGTTTGATGTGGCCTGTCTCACATACAAGGCAATGAAGCATGGGAATCTTTAGAGGTCTTGTGCATGATTCCAAAAGATATTCCAAAGCAGTGGGGGAGGGAGTCATGTTTTAAGTAAGAAAGTAAGTAGCTGCTCATCCCTTCTAGATTATATATGCTTGTGGAGTTCCACACATAAAACTCAGGGCTTTCTTAATCATATCCACAGGTAACATCAATATAACAACAAAAAAAAAATGTTCCAAACTATGTTCTAAACCATTTGGGGGTACTCAATCTTAATAGGAATGTTAAATAGGCATTACTAGTATCTTAATTTGGTGAGAAAACTGAAGCACAAAGAAGTTAACCAACTTGTTCGGTCATTCAGTGAGTAAATGCAGCAAAGAGAATTTTTTATCCAAGCAGTCTGCCTCCCCAAGCCCATGTTCTTAATCATTAATGCTATATTGTCTGTCTCACAATTTGCAAAGACACCAAAAATGTAATGATCTCCTGGCAAATTGTGACGGTGAATTTTCCCAATATATGCAATGTATATGTCAGTACACTCCAAAATATTTATATATTATCCAGCTTTGAAGAGCATGTTACATCCACAATTTAATTAAGTGATGGAAAATATTAGAGACTAAAGGTCAAAGACAAACTGGCATCTGGCCACTGGAAACCTCTTTCCAATTTGACATGAAAATACTTTATAAAAATTCAATTACTGATACACATACATGTACTAATATCTAGATAGTCCTTCACGAAGTGAAAACATCTAATTTTATGGGGGAAACCTCAACCAAAGCATTGCAGAGTCCAGATAATAGAGTATTGGAGCTGAAGGAGCGCCTTAGATCTACTTCAAACTTAGTGTTTTGCAGATGAGAAGATGTGGACCAAGAGAATTAATGTGATTTGCCCATGAACAAACAACTAGCTAGTGAACAAACTAAGTCTGCATTCTGGATATTAAAACCCTAGCACCATTGCTTTATTAAAAGATCATGCCACATAAATAAAAGACGACATATGCTTTAGAACAGGATCACCTCACCAGATTTTCCTTTTTAAAAATTTAAACAAATATATACCCAACATTGACCAGTTCATTGGGGGAACTAAACTGACCAAGTCATTCTTGAAATGAGTGTTCTAAATTTATTCTGGGAATCAGTACAGGCCTTTTAGCCTCAGAATCACCAGGAAAAATCTTTTTTTAAATGCAAAGCCTCAGACAACCCTTAAAAACATTGATTTTTAGGTTTGCCTCAGACAATCCTTAAAAACACTGATTTGTCTGAGGTTGGGTAGAGAAATCAGCATTTTCACTTGCCCCCATGCTCCTGATGATCAGCTAGGACTGAGAAGCAGATATAATTAAAATAGGGGGATTGGAGTAGAAATGCCAACTAATTGATAATATCCAACCTTAAAATACTGTAAATGCAAACTGTATGATCCTTTCATGAAACTTCCCTAGCATTTAAAACATCCACTAGAAAAAAAGGAAAACTACACCAGTGGGACTTCATCAAACTAAAAAGTTTCTACACAGCAAAGGAAACATTGACAAAATGAAAATGAAAAGACAGCCTATCAAATGAAAGAAGATATCTGTAAATCATATATTTAATAAGGAATTGACATTGAAAATACACAAATGACTCATACAACTCAACAACAACAACAACAAACAACCCAATTAAAAATGGGCACAGGATCTGAATAGACATTTTTCCAAACTAGACACATTGATGGCCAACAGGTATATGAAAAGTTGCTCAACATCACTGATCACCAGGGAAACACAAATTGAAACCACAATGAGATACTACCTCAAACCTGCTAGAATGGCTATTTTCATAAAGGTAAGAAAATAACAAATGCTGGAGAAGATATGGAGAAATAGGAACCTTAAACCCTGTTGGTGGGAATTAAAAATGGTGCACCTGCTATGGAAAACAGAATAGAACTACCATATGATTTACTTATTCCACTTCTGGGTATTTATTTGAAGAAAATGAAAATGTTAATTTGAAAAGATATAACAGGAAGTACCAGTATATATCCAAAGGATCATCTAACAGGGAGATCACTCAGTCATCTACACAGAAGACCTGAGTTATTACCCAAGAAAATGGAAGAAGGGTCCTGAAGTTAATTCAGAAATTATCAAGGCTATCCCTCCCATTGGGACTCCCAGGTGACTGAGTAGTCAATAATCCAACTACCAGTGCAGGAGATGTGGGCTCGATCCAATCCCTGGGTCAGGAAAATCTCCTGGAGAAGGAAATGGCAACCCACTCCAGTGTTCTTATATGCTTGTGCCACCTTTGTATTTCAGAAGCACAGAACATCTTTGATTACACAGATTCACAGTTAGAGAGAAATCTGTCTCAGAATGAATCATGCATTGAATCTCACCCACATCTGATTTAGGTGATATTTAGATAAGACTTTATTTATTTTTTTTTAGATAAGACTTTAGAATTAAGACTAGAATTTTGAGGTGACAGCAGGACGACTTAAGATATTGGGGTCTATTGGGACATATTCTTTAAATGAGAAGGTCATAAACTGTGGAAAGCCAGGAGCAGAAAGCTCTGTTCTGAATGTCTGTGTCCCCACAAAATTCGTATATTGAAACTCGAACCTCCAAAGTGATGGTATTAGGTGGTGAGCATTTGGGAGGTGATTTGTTCAAGACAGTAGACCCCTCATGAATGGGATTAGTGCCCTTATAAAAGAAACCCAAGAGAGACCTCTCACCCCTTCTGCCCTTTGAGGACACAATGAGAAGATAACCCAGTCACCGAGTCTGTTGGCACCTTGATCTTGGGCCTCCCAGTCTTAAGAACTGTGAAAAATAAACATCTTTATAAGTCACCCAGTCAATGGTATTCTAATAGCACAAACAGATCACAACATTCATTATTAAGGCAAGAGTGATTTTACAGCAGAGAATCTTGGTGAGCACATCAACCATGTGTTCAAGGTTAACAACCTGGTGATGAGCTCTACCGACAGTACGATAATGTGACATCATGCACTAAGAGGCACCTCCTCTCTGTGGCATTCTTCCTTAAAATCTGCAACCTCAGTCTTATGAAAAAACAGGAGATGGACCCACACTGAGTACATTCTATGAAACACCCGGCAAGTACTCATGTCCATGTCATGCAAGACCAAGAAAGATCAAGGAGTTGCAATGGAGAAGGAGATAGGACAAAACTGCACTGTGAGATTCTGAACTTAATCCTGAAACAGAATAAGGATGAAACTGCTGAAAACTGCTGAAATTCAAATAAAGTGTGTAAACAGATGGAGAAATATACCGTGTTCATGGATTGGAAGAATCAATATTGTCAAAATGGCTATACTACCCAAAGCAATCTATAGATTCAATGCAATCCCTATCAAACTACCAACGGTATTTTTCACAGAACTAGAACAAATAATTTCACAATTTGTATGGAAATACAAAAAACCTCGAATAGCCAAAGTAATCTTGAGAAAGAAGAATGGAACTGGAGGAATCAACCTGCCTGACTTCAGGCTCTACTACAAAGCCACAGTCATCAAGACAGTATAGGACTGGCACAAAGACAGAAATATAGATCAATGGATCAGAATAGAAAGCCCAGAGATAAATCCATGAACCTATGGACACCTTATCTTCGACAAAGGAGGCAAGGATATACAATGGAAAAAAGA